GACTTRTCTTTCCTGGTGAGCTGACAGTCACATTTAATAACTGTGGCCTCTGCAGTAATGCTAGATAATGACTGAACCAAAACTCCCTTGTTCTTATGTCCAGCACAAGACAATTCTTACAAGCATTTATTCTTTTGTTCTGCATATGACTGTCTGCAATAACAGAAAGTTTATTAGCTGAGTCAAATATAACTAATTAGAACCCAAAGAGTGATCTAAAAGTATCACATTAAAATAAAAATCTATTCCCCATGAAGTAAATAATGCTAAATGAATTTTATTGTTAGTCACATCATTATCTAGGGCAGCCCTTAGTTTACCAACAGAAAATGGCAAAAATGAGACTGGAGGTACATCTACAAAATCCATTAGAGTCCCTTTGGGATATAGCTGTCAGCAGCTTCAGCTCTTGAACTTCTATGAGGCATGCTGTGTCCTTGACCAAGAAATGTGTTTTCCCATGTGTTTTATAAAGTAAACATCTGCAATGCTAAAGGCATAGTGCCAGGCACATCTGTGTCCATAGACATTGCTGTCCTAGATATAATGATTTCACCAGCAACAAAGTTCATTTAGCATTATCTATTTCAGGGTGAATAGATTTTCAGTATGACACTTTTAGATCACTCTTTGGGTTCTAATTAGTTACTTTATGACTGAGCTGATAAACTTTCTGTTACTACAGATGATCACATCCATATTCCGTTTCCTTTAGTGATGGCAAGTTCTCTGCAAGCAAGAATCCTATCTTCGTGATTTCCATAGACTTAGAAAAATCAAAACTCAGAATTGCATTAGTAGGTAGTCACTCAGATCAAAAGTGGTGGTAAGAGTAAGGAAGTGAGGGGCTGGGGTTGTGGCTCAGCACTTGCCTAGCATGTGTAAGGCACTGGGTTCAATCCTCACCACCACATAAAATAAACAAACAAACAAATAAATAAATGTGTTGGGCCCAATTACAACTAAAATAAATAAATAAATGATTATAGAAGTGAGAAATGTTTCCAAATATCCCTGTGACTCTATACACCAGTTGTCATAGAAAAACAAATGAGATATTTAAGAATTATCTTTCCCATTCTTTTTTAAAACCTGATTGTTTCCTAGTCTGAGACTATCTAGAAAGGATTCCAAGTACATTATGACTTGGATTTAAGTAACCTTTAGTTGGACTCAAATACATAATCTGAATATTTGAGAATTATTTCCCCTTGTCAGTTTAGCTGTTCTGTCGGAGGAGGGAATATTCTTAATGTGGTGATAATTCTGACAGGTTCCTAAGACAATAGTGAACTTGGTTAGAGTCTAAGAAATGTGGGTTTTGTCCATGTTTAAATGAAATGCAAACCTTTTTAGTTGTTTCCAATGTGATAAAGTAGTGTTGGCTTTGAGCCTCTTKGGTGTCTATAGTTGATTTACAAACTTAGGCTTACCGGGAGTCTCACACACACCCACCCCTCCTGCCCCCTTCTCAAAGGTACAACAATTTTTTCTTTTTCCTTTCCTTCCTTTTGTACTGGGGATTGGACCCAGGGGGTGGGTACTCTACCATTGAGCTACATTTCCAGTTTTTTCTTTCTTTCTTTTTTTTTTTTAAACAGGGTCTTGCTGAGTTGTCTTGAACTTACAGTCCTCCTATTTTCACCTTTCAGAGTTGCTGGGCTTACAGGCCTGTGTCACCATGCCTGGGGAGTAGCAGTTTTTTATTGAGACTTTAGGATAAAAACTCTCACATCTCATTCTAGAATATTTATATAAGAAAATTTCCTCCATAAACTTTACAATTTATATTGGTAAAAATGTAGACTTTTTTTTTTTTTTTTTGCTGGTTTCCTCAGGAAATAAAATCAAGGCAGTTCTAAACCTAACAAAATAAACTTACAATATCTTATGCATGTTTATTAAAAGCAGAAACCATGAATAAGCCAATAAAAACTATTAAAATCACGATTCTACTACTCAGGGCTAACCGATATAAACACTTATATATCATAAAAAGCATTTTTCCCCTCTCCAAATACATGTCAGCTGCTTTGCAGAATAGAGTTGAACTACATGTACTTTTTACTTGAGCATATTTTTATTGGATGAAAAGTATTCTATCATACAACATAGGAAACTTTTATTGATAATCCCCTGATTTCTAGAGAACTTTTTTTTTTTTTAGAATAATGTTATAAATGATAGTTCATTTACTAGGCAAACTCCTCAGGTCCTAATTGATACCTGCCACATACCTCAGCTAAGCTTCTAAACAAATGGTGCCCCAGCATTTAGAATACAGGATTTGCTTATCATGTTACTTCTGTTCAAATCTCTGTAATCTAGGCAGTACCTGGCAACATCAGGAAGGTAGTGGACACTCTGCAGAATCTGAATGAATGGGAGGTGGGAATCCCTATCTGTCCTGGCTTTTCTGATTGGAACAGTGGGCACACTGTATAGCAAGATTCCCTCATGGTCAGTGTCTTTTGCATTTGTCAGCTTTAGCAACCTTGATAAAGACTCTTCCCAGGACCTTTCTTTATCTGTGTCAAAGATAGCTAGAGAAGGAAGGAAACTATATGAAAAACTTGGAACAATGAGTTGATATGTATAGTCTCTTCTACCCAACAACAGCAAAACACATATCTGTTTTAAGTGCATATGAAACAGTAATTTTTGATGTTTTGTTTTTGATACTGAGGATTTAATCCAGGGATCCTTTACCACTGAGCTACATTCCCCAGCCCCCCCCCCTTTTTTTAAAAAAAGAGAGAGAGAGAGAGAATGAATTTTTAATATTTATTTTTTAGTTTTCGGCAGACACAACATATTTGTTTGTATGTGGTGCTGAGGATCGAACCTGGGCTGCATGCATGCCAGGCAAGCGCGCTACTGCTTGAGCCACATCCCCAGCCCCCAGATCCCTTTTAAATTTAATTTAATATTTTAGTTTTAAGACAGGGTCTTGCTAGTTTGTCCACGCTGGCCTTGAATCTGAGCTTATACCTACCATATATACCCATTCTGYTTCTAGGTATTTATACAAAAATGATGTATACAAAGCTGGGAATATATCTTAGTTGGTAGAGTGCTTGCCTTACATGCACAAGCCCTGGATTCAATTTCCAGCACCAAAAAAAAAAAAAAGATGTATACATCCATATGAAGACTTGTATGTGAATACTGATAGCCATTTTATTTACAAAAGCCAAAAACTAGAAAGAAATTGAATGTCTGTCAACAGGTACATAGATAAACTGTGATATCCATATAACAGAATACCACTCAGCGACAAAGGAACAGACTTGGATACATTTGACAACGTGGATGGGTGAAAGAATCCAGACAATGGGTACATAGTCTGTGGTGCCATTCGTGTAGACTTTCAGAACATACATAGTAATCTTCAGCATCAGAAACCAGATTAGTGCTTGCCTAAGAATGGGAGATGGTGGGCCAGGATGGGAAGAAGGATTAAAGGGATGTGAGACAACTCTTGGTAGTGTATTAATTGTGATGGTTTCTCAGGTTATATGTGTCAAAACTTAAATTGTATACTTTCAAGATGTATATAGTTCATTGTATATCAATTATGTAAAAATATCTGCTTGAAATATAAATAATAAATTAGAATTCTGGCACTATTGTATCATAATAGTGTTTATTAAATACCTGTATACAAATGACCTGACATTTTGTTGTATACTATTCTAGGTTAATAAAAGGATCTTGCTTGCTAGTTTGTGCTTCTGTACAATCAGAATCAGTGGAAAGTGTCAGAAACCTAGGAAATGTTCTATTTCTCACCGAGGAAAAATCTTTTATATTTATGGGTGGTTAACAGTTGAGCATTGAATTTTTCTTTAAGTAATGACATGATAGATAACCTAATGAAGAACTTAATCATATTGTATTACCTGGGTAGAATAAAAAATAGGGATAATCAATGGCTATTCCTTGCCTATTGAATCAAGATCGGTTTCCTAGGCTTTTGATATGCCCTGTGGTTTGACCTAAGTTTCCACCCAACAACGGCAAACACAAATCTGTTTTAAGTACACATGAAACAGTAATTTCTGTTGTAGATCATGAAAAAGTTACAAATTCCTGTTCAGTTTTGGCCCACCCTGCCCGCAGAACACACTGTACTGTCCCCCACATCATTATCTTGATTAATACTTTTTCTGCCTGTGATTCTTACCCATCCTCACCTCACCTTTGTCTCCATCTGGTTAAAATCCCACCAGTGCTTTAAATTCACATTCAGATGCTAATATGCTTTCTCATTCTCAGTGTCATTTATATTCTGTATGTTGGTGGACACTAAGCACATAGTTTGTACTGGGCACCTTGAACCATGCATATTTACATATATGTCTTGAATGAGTTTTGTCAACGGCACCTAGTAGTTACCTTGTACGTAGTAGACATACATACTGGTGGTACCATAGAAGAATATATTGGGAATAGAACTGAGCAGATGCAAAATTACACACTGTAGCAACTACTTGGATGTGTTTGACATATTTATTATACTTTTATATTTCTTAAAATTATTGTAATTAACATCATTGAGGGAAGCAGTGACAGGACAAGCAGGAGAAATAAAGTGTTTCAGGTTTTAGTTTTGAAGTTCCTTATGTGGTCATATGGTTAGAGCACAGGAGTGGTAGATTTACCGTACTCATTTTGTATTTTTCTTAAGCTAGTGCTTAAATTATAAGGAAACACAAACCTCCTTCTCTGATTTTAGAACTGGGAAGTAGTTGGTTGGAGAATGGGAAGTCAATTTATAATTTTAAATCAGCTAGATATAATTCATTGAGAAATCCAAGTAGAAATAACTATAAGAGCTTAATGGCATCTCCACATTACAGTATTCATTGTATCATGGAAAGAGCATGGATTTGGTAGGAGCCATGAATAATTGGGGAAATATTTTTGAAATTTCAGGTGACAGCTATCTTGTGGCTTGTGTCCACACCTTTACTCACTTCTTAAATTTATTTTTCTAGGTTCGGACCCTATTTGTCAGCGGTCTCCCTCTCGATATCAAACCTCGGGAGCTCTATCTGCTTTTCAGACCATTTAAGGTACCTTTTATATCTTTCAGAAATTGTAGAAGGATACAAAAAGGCTGTGTTTTCCATGCTTTGAAAGGGCTTTTTGGAGGAAGAAAAAATGTTTGAGAGAGCACCTTGTAAAGAGATGTTTTCAAAAAGGTTAATGAGTAAAAGAGAGTTAACAACTGAGTTTTCATGCACAGTCTCACCTAGGAAGATAGACTGAAACTGCCTTTTGGCCTCCAACGACTCATCTAGCTAGAGAGGTCTCTTACTGATGTAAATATACATCTGGCCCCAGGGGTCTCTATTCCATGTAATCTCCCCTGTTTGTTCTACTCCAATTGAGGCTAACTATAGACAATGAAAAGGTTATAAATTACATACTACCTATTTATATTTCAAATGCAATAAGGTAAATCAAACCCTGTCAGTTGCTTYCTTATTAGTTGGAATAGTATTCTTGATAAGGAGACATTTAAAAATGGTCTTTTTTGAACACTATTATTTTTTCCCTGGCAAAAGTTCTAAATTTCAAACCAAATTTTGCAGAAAGCTGTGTATAAATTAAGAGGAATCTTTCTCTGTGTTTAGTGAAATATTTAATGCAATCACCTGTCCTTCCTGACTGTGGAAATAAAGTTACTTTAGAGATATTTAACATTACTGGGAATGAAAACTTAATAGGAAATTGGACTAAAGCTGAAATAACCATGCTGGCTTTTGGAGGATAGGAGGAAACTAGAACTTATCAGAATATGGGCCTTGAAGGCTTCATGAATTCAGGGCCTATGTCCAGGAGCTCTGAGCTGGTCATTGTGGATATGTCAGCTACAACACCTGTCGGGTCACCCTTATGATAGGCAATAGACAGTCTTGGTTTCTGATTAAAGATCCATCCTGATTGAGGCAGGACATGTTGGACAGGATTCAGCTTAGGAGGAAAGATTAGAGTCTAGGTTGTATGCCAAGAAGACACCATGTGGTGATAGACCTCACTGCATTCTAATAGCCAACTGCAGAATGAAGTAGTAATGATGACAGCACAGAGGGAAACAGGAAGGGTAATTCAAGACTGGCTGATAGGAAATGGGAAAGGAGGAGAAGGTATTATGAAGAGAGTGTCAACTTTATGGAATTCCTAGAGTTTCATATACAGGATCACAGTTGTATAAAAAGAGCCATTTCTGTGACTTTTAAAGCTAGTTGATCTTCTTCTTTTTTTTAAATTTATTTTTTAGCTTTAGGTGGACACAATATCTTTATTTTATTTTTTTAATGTGATGCTGAGGATCGAACCCAGTGCCTCATGCATACTAGGCGAGTGCACTACTAGTTGAGCCATATCCTCAGCCCCTAGTTGATCTTCTTAACCGACAAAATATTGTTATGTTTGTATGTATAAGAGGAAGATTTGGCCAACAAAGCCCTTAGATGTATTATTATCTCATTTCATTATTACCACAGTTCCTTAAGGTGGCTTAGCCCCATTGTTTCAAATGATGAAAATGAAACTTGGAACAGTTAACTATATATTATGCTCAAGTTTGCACACATAATAAATGGCAGGACCAAAGAGGCAGGCATTTGACTGCCAGTCCTGTTTTAAACTATGATGTTATACAGTTCTTTGTGGTTTCAGAGCATGGTATTTCCCTGCCAGTGATGTTTTACTTGAATGAAATATCCATTTGTCCTTTGCTTCTGAGACCTTGGGACTGTTTAAGCCTCCAGGTTTTTTAGGAGAGAGCCTACCTTGAAAAAAGAAAGAGGCAGGACTGTGAATCATGACCTTTCTGTCCAGAAGAGCTCAAGGCCTTGGAGGTAGAATGTTTATAGTAGCTAATTGGTAACCAGGTTTTGTGCTGGAAAGATGTGAGGATGAATCAATCCTAAAGTCCTGTCCAAAAACCCCAATGCTAAAGTTAGGACCTTGGTACATTACTAACAGCCCTCTTTTAATTAAAGTCCCTGGAGGCTGACCCTAGTCTACAAATCTGTCTTTGCACTGATGTTTTTAGTGGTCAATCATGTCAAGTGGTGTTTTTTTCTGTCATCCATCAGAGAAAGCCACTAGTTATTGATTATTTCCAGAAATGAACACACTTTCTTACTCTTATCCTGAGGAACTAGTTGGGGGAAGGGAGAAGAGAGGTAGTGGAAAAGTTAGGGGATGTTTCCATCTTCCTTAGGAATGAGCTGGAATAGAAACCCCAGAGGGAGGTTTTGCATGTCCCAGCATTATGGAAACCAGCTACTTCATTAAATAAGCAGAATGCAACAAAATGCAGTATCACTGTCTGTTCAGCCTTTTATGGTCGTCTGAGGTTTTGATCAATAAATTGTATGCTTAAGTGTTTCATTATTATTATTTTATTAGCAAATGTATGACCAAATTAAACATGCTCTAAACTTCTTATTATTAAATTTACTCTCTTCCCTCTCCTAGTTTTATGAAATCCCTATCCTTACCGAGTCTAAGAAGACAAAGATCTGTTGTTGACAAACATTCCCATTACCCTATATTGCATAATTTCATGGAAAAAATAGAAAAGAGGAAAACATAGATAACTACATGATTTCTTTTGGACCCCAAGTAATAAAATAGGGGTGTGTGGGGTTATGTGTCTGTAATTTGCTTTCCCAACTGCATTTGTGCAAAAAGCTAGATAGTCATAGAGGGTCATGTTTACTAGCTAGATGGTATTACATTCTCCCCACCCATATTCATTTTGAGGGCTAAACTTGGTTCTTCTTATTTCCAGGGCTATGAGGGCTCTCTTATAAAGCTTACATCTAAGCAGGTAAGAATTTCAAACTTCTGTATAAATGATGACTTTTTTACTTTCTCCAGAGTATTAAATGGGGTTTAACACTCTTTTTTAATTCCAGTTAGGATTTGATTTTTGTTGTGGTTACTATTGCTTTAAAATTAAGGGTGAGCTCTATTAGGATTTGCGTAGGAAGATAATGTGTAGTTCTATAGTCTTCTAGCTAGGATATTTGGGATTGTCCCAAAATGTGGCAAAAATGATGCCTCCAACATAGTTATATTAAGGCTGATTTGTATGTTCAAATAAAATGATTAAATATCAACCAAATTCACTTGTACTCCCAATTTTTTTCCATTTCTTTTAAGAGGTTAAATGGGTAAACTTTTACAAGTGATATGAATATCCGATAGTGAAGAATCATGCTGTTCCTCAAACCCCTAATAACTCAGGCAGAGTCCCTAATTGAGAATGGAGCACAGAAGATACAGAATGGAGCTGGTATTCAGTGGCCTGGCAGTTCCTACAAGTTTCTTGGAGATTAGCTATATGCTTGCTTGCTTGGTTGCTTGCTTTCTCTTTTTTAAGCCAAATACTTGGCATTCTTGCCTCTCAATCACTTTTGTCTCTCTGGTTCATCTGAAATAAGCTACATTGCATGTAACTTGCTTGGCTGTTAAAATAGAGTCCAAAGGGATTATGGCTCCCACCTACAGTGTGGTTTATGCCTATAATACAGGATTTTTTTTTTTTTTTGAAGGCATCCCTAGGGATTTGAGATAGACATGCATGCTCACTTTGTAATTTTGGTCATGCAGTAAGAGTATAGGGCTTAACCACTGTGTCATTGGTGGTGATTCTATTCTCTTTCCATTTTAAAAGATGAAGAAACTGAAATACAGTGAATTCAATTTAAGAAAGTAGAGCCTCTTCAACTCCAAATTGTCTCTATCCCTTTATTTACTCCTGCTCATCATCCAATCACCTCTAAGGTTTTTAGTTTAGTTTTGTTTTTTAATGATTTAAATCCCCAGCTGTGCTCTTGAAGAACCACCCTTACTGACCATCCCTTTGATTCATGTTAGAAATGTGGCTATACCACTGAGTCATGATTCTTTGGGTCTTATTCTTACTTCTACCTGTCGCTTGTGGTCATTTCTTTATCTTAGCTTTTCAATTGACATCAACCTTGACCCCAGAAAAAGATATTACCTGACTTTTTTTCTTTGTATTTCTCTTTCTCTTTCCTCAGCCTGTAGGTTTTGTCAGCTTTGACAGTCGCTCTGAAGCAGAAGCTGCAAAGAATGCTTTGAATGTAAGTATATGCTAATGTTATAATCATAGTGGTTTCCTTAGACTTGGTGGGAAGTTAATAAAACTTCTTTGGATTGGAAATTAAAGGGAAGGAATGTGACTGCTCAATCTAACATGGAGGGATTCATTTATGTGATGAGTCCTCTAACGAATTTTCTCAATGAATTGTGATCAGATGTGCAAGGGTCATCATTATACCCTAAACGTCTATGTCAAAAAGAGATCAGAATCTTGGATTTTTTTTTTTTTTATATTATGAGGTTTCCCTTTTAGGTATGTGACTTCTGTTGTTATTTAAAAAACAAATCACAGTTTTTATTTTGATTGAAAAAAAAATTTGTATCTAAGACTTGCCCAAAAGACATTTTGCATAAAATCTTAGTCATTTGTATTGAGTAAAGATACCGTACACATTTGGTTTGTAGGCATCTTGTTTGCCATATGTTTTGTAGCTTTTACCAGCATTGTTTTAGAAAACATTTCCTTTCTTTGGTATTTTGAAAAGCAAAACAACTTATGGGAGCTCTGCCAAGAAAAGGTGGAAAGAAGCAGAATTTACTTTCAGTTGTTGAAGTCTGGTCCTCAAGTGAGGAGCCTCAGGTCTGGCTCCAGCATGTTCCAGGCAGTTGACCTAAGGAGATATGAATTAAGTGTAGATGAAAGCAGTGGAGCATACAGGGTGCTTCCTAAAAGGCAAGTGAATACTCTACTGGTTACAATAGAAGTACCATTCTTAGTCTTCTGAAAACTTGGGGCTGCTCTCTGTAATGTTGTGGTACTTGCAGATGCTCCCACCAGCTGCTTCTCTGAGCAGACCACGGGAAGAGGGTAGCTTGGATACCTGATATGATACTCTGATGACTTAGAGGCCCAAGGGAAAGCCTTTATGTGAGTCTGTTTACTCAGCATAATAGCTATTGTGTTTTTTGACTTTGAAAAAAAAAATGTGTACTCTCAAAAGAAACAGATTATTTTTCATGTAAAGCACTCAGGAATGTTTTAGGATTCCAGAATCTTTTTGGATAGATGACCTTTAATCAGAATAACTGCCTTAGTAGAGCACATGCCTAGCATGTGTGAAGCTTTGGGTTCAATCCCCAGCTCTGCAAAAGTGTGTGTGTGAGGTGCACATTTTGTGATTTATGCAGTGTTTTCCTTTATTCTAACCAGGTGACCATCTTTCTAAATGCAGAAATATTTTTTTCCTTATTCTCATAAAGGAAGTAATAGTAGTTGAATCCCCATCATAGAATGGGCTCCCCTTGCCTTGCTTTATTTTTGGTGTGTGTGTATAAAGTAGACTTTTGCAGTGACCTGTCATCTATAAAGGCAACATTCCCTCGTTTCCTTAAGGGGTAAATTGATTTTTTTTAAATACTGAAGTTTATTGTTTTAATGTTTAAATGATAATAGAATAAAACCATGTTTCCTTCCTTTACATGCTAAATTAAATACAACAAACATAATTACCATCTTTTCTTGGTGCTTGAGGGTTATCATCAGAAATAGAGGTGTTAAAGCTGGTTTGCCCCTAGGCCAGTGGCTCCAGATCCCTGCTTTACTGGTCTTCAGTTTTGGTTATAGGTTATTTTTCTCAGCTCTCTCTTCTCCTTGGTAGCAAACTTTATAATTACCAGTGTACTGTCCCCTAATCTTTAATACTACTTGGGAAGAACCTGAAAAAGAATAGGTCTGGTTCTGTTTTGAGTCTAAGGGGAGGTCCTCATATTTACCTGTATTGTAATGAGCCCAGGCTTTCAGCTTCTCAGGATAGACCTGTGCATATTGGGTATTTACTGAGTTCCTGGCCAAAATGTTTCTTGACATCATAAAACTTTTGTGTGTGATTTATTTGTGGTCTTGTGTGCCTTAGAAATCCCTTCAATGTTATAGTCTTTTCCCAAAATGACTGATTTTTAAACCATTTATTTTCTGCCATTTTCAGACTGTGCTTTAATCAGTGTGATCATCTTTTGGAAAGACATATAGGTTAGATTAAATGGCAATACTGAATTTTTATTAGGGGGTTACACAAACATATACTTCCCTTTAGGTTATCCATAATCTCATTAATCCACATGATTGGAAACCTCACCTATTCTTTAACTTGACAGCAAAATATCTGACCCATTCATAATGTGACACATACCTAATTTCCATAGTCAGTTCTTTAATTTCCATGCTAATGAAAGAGGAAACTGATAATCTAAAGAACCCTATTATATTTTTAATTTGTTTATAATTTTGAAAGGCAAATCAAATACAGTAACATCTGAAGTTAGCCAATATAGTAAAAAAATTCTGGTTTGTGGAGATTTTAAAAAGAAAGAGGAAGAAGAGCAGATGTAAGGATAAAGACCCTGAGCAGATGTGGGACTACACCACCTGGATATTTTTGTCAACTGGCAGGACTCCTTAATTGCCATTGTTGCCCAGTAGAAATCTTGTTTTAACAAATAAGAATGATTTGTAGTTAACACTTCAGATTAGCAGAGTTAAGTTTGATTGCTACTTATAGTTGCTCTATAACAGTGGTATTAGAAATTGCTCATCTAAAGTACTTAAATTGTGGACTCTTTATATACATGTCATTCGTTTGATATCTCTCCTTCCCTATTGTTATTAAGTAGATATTACCTTGGACTCTACTATAAATTGTTATATCAGAACTAGAGAAGTCTGATATAATCAAACTATATACATGACTACATATTACCTTTATAACTATAAATTGCTTAGGCTAGTAAGTAGTTTGCCTTGCTCTCAATTATACTCATTGTTCTAAGTGATCTTTAATTTCTATTTTAACAAAAAAAAAAACTTTATTGAGATACAATTCACACATATAAAGTTAAAATTCAGTGGTTTTGTTGTATTTTTTTGTTCTTTAAAAAATTTTTAATATACTTTTATTTGTTCTAATTAGTTATACATGACAATAAAATACTTTTTTTTTTTTTTTTTTTGGGCAGTGTTAGGGATTGAACCCAGGGCCCTGTGCATGCAAGGCAAGCACTCTGCCAACTAAGCTATATCCCCAGCCCAGTAGAATGCATTTGACACGTCTTACATAAATGGAGTATAACTTCTTATTTGTCTGGTTATACATGATATAGAGTTACACAGGTCATGTAATCATATATGCACACAGGGTAATAATGTCCAATTCTGTTGTATTTTTTAATTGTAAAAATTAGCCATTGTAACAATTTCAAAGTATACAAATGCATGTGCACCATATTGTGTAATCATCACTATGTATTTCTAAAATATTTTCATTAACCCAAGCAGAACATCATAGCCATCAAATATTATCTCTCATTCTCCCTTCCCCCAAGTCCCTGGTAACCTCTGATCTACTTTATGTCTCTATGAATCTGTCTATTCTAAATATTGAAATATTTATCCTATTGTTTCTGGCTTTTTCTTTGAATATTCACTATGAGGGTTGTACATGTGTAGCATTAATTATGATTAATGTTCTGTCTTTCTACAACGGAATAATCCATTGTATAGATGTACATATTTTGTCTATTCATTTGTCTATTGATGGCCAGTTTTTCTACCTTTTGACTATTGTGTTAYTGCAGTGAATATTGGCATATAACTATCTTGAGTCTCTCTTTTCAGTTCTTTTTGGGCACAAAAATTCCACAAGTGGAATTTTTGGGTCATACAGTAATTAAGTATATATATTTTTAAATTTTTTACTTGTTCTGAAGTTATATATGAGAGCAGAATATATTTTGACATATTATACATACATGGAATATAACTTCCCATTCTTGTAGTTGTACATGATGTGGAGTTAACACTGGTCATCCGATTCATTCTACTGTCTTGTCTACTCCCATCCTTTCTCCCTTACCTTCATTCCTCTTTTTCTAATCCAATGCACTTTTTTCTCTTCCCCACCCTCCCATGCTTTCAGTTAGCATCCACATATCAGAGAGAATATTCAGCCTTTGGTTTTTTTGGGGGGTTGGTTTATTTCATTTAGCTTGATAGTCTCCAGTTCTGTTCATTTACTGGCAAATGYCATAATTTCATTTCTCTTTATGGCTGAGTAGTTTTCCATTGTGTATATGTACCACGTTTTATTTATCCATTCATCTGTTGTAGGGAATCTAGGCTGGTTTCATAGCTTAGCTATTGTGAATTGAGCTGCTATAAACATTGATATGTCTATGTCACTGTAGTATGCTGACTTTAAGTCCTTTGGGTGTATTCCAAAGAATGGGGTAACTGGGTCAAATGGAGGTTCCATTCAAAGTTTTCTGAGGAATCTCCATACCGCTTTCCAAAGTAGTTGCACCACTTTGCAGTCCAACCAGCAATGTATGAGTGTACCTTTCCCCCCACATCCTCACCATCATTTATTACTTGTATTCTTGATAATTGTCATTCTGACTGGTGTGAGATGAAATCTCAGTGCAGTTTTTTTTTTCCTGTATTGAGGATTGAACTCAGCGGGGCACTCAATTATTCAGCCACATCCCCAGCCCTATTTTGTATTTTATTTAGAGACATGGCCTAAATGAGCTTAGCACCTCACCATTGCTGAGGCTAGCTTTGAACTCTCGATCCTCCTGTCTCAGTCTCCCATGCTGTTGGAATTACAGACATGTGCCACTGCGCCCAACTTTAGTGTAGTTTTAATTTGCATTTCTGTAATTGCTAGAGATGCTAAACATTTTTTCGTGTATTTGTTGACAGATTATATTTMTTCTATGAAGTGTCTGTTCCATTCCTTATGGCAAATGTATCTTCAGTTTTTTAAATAACTGCCAAGGGCTGGGGTTGTAGCTCAGTGGTAGAGCGCTTGCCTTGCATGAGTGAGGCCCTGGGTTCCATCCCCAGCACCACATAAAAATAAACAAATAAAGATATTGTATTTTGAAATAAAGAAGCAAATGTGTTAAAAATCCAAAAAAAAAAAGAAAGAAAAAGATATTGTGTCCATCTACAACTAAAAAATAAAAATTAAAAAAAAATATCTGC